GTAGTCGTCGTCGTCGTCGTCGTCGTCGTCGTCGTCGTCGTCGTCGTCGTCGTCGTCGTCGTAGTAGTAGTAGTAGTAGTAGTAGTAGCAGTAGTAGTAGTCGTAGTCGTAGTCGTAGTCGTAGTAGTAGTAATAGTAGTAGTAGTAGTAGTAGTAGTAGTAGTAGTAGTAGTAGTTGTTGTAGTAGTAGTAGTAATAATAGTAGTCGTAGTAGTCGTAGTAGTAGTCGTAGTCGTAGTCGTAGTTGCAAGCGTGCATGGTAGTCACATTATCCAGCCCTCAGTTCTTGATGCAAGAAAAGTAAGAACGAACCGGTGACTCTTTCATTCCGTGCTCAGGCGAATCGTGGTCTCTCGGGGCAAGCATCGGCACAAACATGAATGCTCGGAACGCCGCGCGGTTTTCTCGGACTGGCGCCTGGCATCCCCCCGGGCGGCACCTCCGTCGCTGGCGCTGGCGCGCCCCGCGCGCCAAAGAGGGGGGCCCATCGCCGATCCAAATCATCCGCGCGGACCTCCGAGTCTTTTTCTCCTCCATTCCACGGCGCCTTTTGCCAATCTCAAGCGACGCAGCTATCCATCGGCAGGAGGAAGTAGGGAGCCTTTTTCTTGGATTCCCAAATCCTTGTCTAGGACTTTCCGCACGTCTAGGAGTGGATGTATATCGACGAATGGCGCCCAACAGCGCTTAATAGCGCTCAGTAACGCTCAAAAGCGCCATCTAGTGCCGAATAGCTTTCAATAGCACCCAAAAGCTCCCAAATAGCGCCGAATAGCGTCGAGTAGCGCCCAAAAACGCCACATAGCGCCGAATAGCCTTCAATAGCACCCAGAAGCTCCCAAATAACGCCGGATCGCGTCCAATGGCGCCCACTGGCGCCATGTAGGGGAGATGCGTTACGTCCGCTCTGTGCTACTGGGCGCGCCATTGGGCGCCATGGGGACGACCAAATACTTCCGTCAGCTGCTTGTGAAGTCTCTCAGATGCCTCCCTCTGTCTGGCCAGTGGGACCGTCCGCATGCGTCCCGCACACCCAGTTTGGCATTTTCACCCACCCAGTACAGCGTGTCGTGGCCCCACAGGGAGCTCCACCGAAGCCCCCAGTCTGGGGCCACCTTGCCGGCGCCCCCCTCCGCTCCCGCCGAGGCGCCGCCGCAGCGGCGGCGCCGGGCGCCGTGTCGGAGGCCCCGTGCGGCGGGGCGCTTCCTCTCCAGACGGGGGGGGGAGGATCGAGGAGGTGGACCATCGGCACGGACGACATGGGTACGGAAAGAATGGGTACAGTACGTGCAATGCCCAGCAGCAGTTCCTCTTCATGTTGAACAGGACTCGCTGTCGATGTCGCCGCGGCCTGTGTCCACTTGGGACAGAAGGCCGCCTGCCCAACAGCGGAGGCTGCTGGTTTGGGACACCATTTGTTGTTGGGCATTGTACCCATTCTTTCCGTACCCATTTCGGGCGACCAAAGACCAGAGAAGACGGATGAAGATGGAGTCTGGGAGAATGTAGGAGGATGGCAGATCGAGGAGGGTCGATGATCGAGGAACCAAGGCGAGGAGGAGGGGGGGGGGTCTGGCGCCGATGCAAATGTGTTCTTCTTCTACATGGGAAAAAAGATCATGTCTTTGAATTTTGGCGCCGGTTTGGGGCTTCATGGGCCCTCTCATCAGGAAACTGCTCAGGGTGAAAAGCTGACCCTGGGGAAGGTCCTGGGGCCCATGATCAGTTTGCGCCACGATCAAGTTCCCTTGGAGGGGAAGGTGGAGCTTGAACGACGCGTGTGGCCCTGAATCGGCCGATCTCGAGCGATCTGTGCTATCGAGAACCCGCGATCGTTCAAGCTTGATCGGTCTGCTCGGTGTCAGGAGCCAGCGCCGAGGTCGCCACGACACGAGCCAGCTGGGCACCCTTCCGTCCCGGGCCTCCTCCTTCTGAGCCGAGTTGTTTTTTGGTTCGTGCCCACCTCGGCGGGCGCCCGTGGGGGGGGGGGTCACACACAAGGCGAGGCAGTCCTGCTGGTACGCACCAAGATCAAGCTTCCCGACATACAGTCGGCCCGGATTAGGTCGACCCTGCCAAGTCAGGGGTGCCCCTGTGTCCTGTGCCTCGCGATCCGTGCTTCCTGCACTCCTGTGGCAACGTGGCCCTCGGAGTTGTCTCGTATCCTCTCGCGTCTCCTCCTCCTCCTCCTCCTCCTCCTCCTCCTCCTCGTCCGACTGTAGGCCCCGCGCGTCACCTCGACCCGCACGGCCGCGGGCAGGCAGAGGCGCTCCATTCCAGCACCGCGAGGGCTCCGCGGCGGGCCCGGGCGGCTGGAGCCAAAACGGCTTGAGCGCCGAAATGGCCACGAAGGAGGCGGAGGAGGAGGAGGAGGAGGAGGAGGAGGAGGAGGAGGAGGAGGAGGAGGAGGAGGAGGAGGAGGAGGAGGGAGAGGGGGAGGCCGACGATGACGACGACGACGACGACGACGACGACGACGACGACGACGACGACGACGACGACGACGATGACGATGGCGGCGGCGACGGCGACGATGCCGACGATGACGACGAAGGCGACGGCGACGGCGACGACGACGACGACGACTGCGACGGCGACGGCGACGGCGACGATGACGGGGACGACGACGACGAGGACGACGACGACGACGAGGACGACGACGACGTCGATGAACGGGAAGGGCTCTGGGTCGATAGCCGCTGGGACGCCTCCCAGCCACAGGTCGTCCCTCTGGCCTACTTCGCGAGCTCTGGCGGGAGCTCATGCTTGTCTTTTTCTTCTTCGCCGCCGCCGCCGCCTCCGTCGTCGTCGTCGTCGTCGTCGTCGTCGTCGTCGTCGTCGTCGTCGTCGTCGTCGTCGTCGTCATCGTCAACGTCGTCGTTGCCGCCGCAGACGTTTGGGGAAACGCAACCATGGATCACGGCGCGTGTAATACCGAAGGGCACCGTTTTCATGCAGACCTGTCGCACCCCGCCGTCGAGTCAGGCGGCACTGTTGGGAGGTAATTCACCCGATCCGCGGATCTGGTGCCCACGCGATAGATCCACGGATCCATCATCCATGTTAGTGTGTCCCCGATCGTAGTCGTTTTTCGTCGGTAGTCGTTATCCTCCGAAATCCACCTCCTCCTCCTCCTCCTCCTACTTCTTCCTCCTCGTGCCCCCTCATCCTCCTCCTCCCGCGCGCCCGCTCGTGGGAGGAGGGCTCTCGAAAGGAGGGGGGAGGAGGGAGGATGAAACCTACCTTCCCCGGCCAACAGGTGAACACGTTGTGGAAGCGTACCGCCTGCTGGGAGGTCCCCTCTGGCACCCCTCGGCCGTGGGGAGGGGCCGGGACTCGGACGGTGGCCTGCCTCCGAAGAGGCAGGTGCAGGCACGGAGGACGACCGTCGAGCAGAGGGGGCGGCCGCGCTCAGCACGAGCCGCTCTCCCCAGCCAGTCCCGACAGAGTCAGGAGGGGAAAAACACGCAGACACAACGAATCGTCCACTCCCGGGAACATGTGGGAGACTATGGGCAGTGGGGGGGGGAAGACAGAAACGCAGAGGATATGGGAAAAGTATGGGGAATCCTGTGCTTTGTGTGTGTGTATTTCTTCGTGTGCCCCAGGGCCTCCTCGGGGGGGGGGCGGAGGCGCGGCGGCCCGAGGCGAGGGGAGCCCCGGCGCGGCGAGGCGGAGGGGGGACAAGGAGCGGAGGCGGGGCGAGGGAGGGGGCGGGGGGACGGGGAGAGAGGTCCGCGGCCGACGGGGTGCGCACAGTCACCGGCGTTGGTCGGCGGCGGCCAGGCGAGAGAGAGGGAGAGGACTATATATTTTTGCGTGTGTGTACAAATATAAAGGCTTATATAAGGTATAGGTATACACATTGGCAGCCAAGGGCAAGCGCAGTTCTTTTGCTGAAGCCAGAGGGGTCGAGGCAGGTGCCGCAGACTCGAGGGCTTGACAGGCGGCAGCCACGAAGAATGAGGGCACACAAAGACCACTAGAGGTGTGAGGGAGCGCCTGGACGCGAGATGGGGGAGATGGGAAGAGGCAGGAGGGCAAGCCTCCCGCTTGCCCATCGTCATTCTGCTTCTGTTTGTCGTCGTCCTCCTCCTCCTCTTCCTCCTTCCCTCCTGATCCATATCCTCCTCATCGTCAGCAGCATCCACATCATCACCATCATGCCATAATCAAAACTTCACTCATAAAAGTCATCATGAACGCCATCATCGTCATCATCTTCACTGCCACCATCACCATCGTCATTATCATCATCATCAGCATCAGCATCGACATCATAATCATGATCATGAACATACGGTGATCATGTTTATGTTCATGAACATCATCGTAATCATCACCACCGTCATCATCATCATCATCCTTATCCTCGTATCCTCGCATCCTCGTATCTTCATCCTCGTATCCTCGTATCCTCTCACCCTCGTATCATAATCGTCATCCTCATCCACCTCATCCTCAACATCATCATCACCATCACCATCATCACCGGCTTATCACCACCATCACCACCACCATCACCATCACCACCATCATCATCATCATCATCATCATCATCCTTATCCTCGTATCCTCGCATCCTCGTATCTTCATCCTCGTATCCTCGTATCCTCTTATCCTCGTATCATAATCGTCATCCTCATCCACCTCATCCTCAACATCATCATCACCATCACCATCATCACCGGCATCATCACATCACCATCACCATCACCATCACCATCACCATCACCATCACCATCACCATCACCATCACCATCACCATCACCATCACCATCACCATCACCATCACCATCACCATCACCATCACCATCACCATCACCATCACCATCACCATCACCATCACCATCACCATCACCATCACCACCATCATCATCATCATCACCACCATCACCATCACCATCACCATTACCATCATCATAATCATCATCATCATCATCATCATCATCATCCTCGTCTTCTTTCGTCTCCACCGGTTTCCTCCTCGCCCTCGTCGTCCCTGTTCTCTCTTCGCTTGCCACCAGCACCGTCGACATCATTCCATCGTTGGTTGCAGCATCGTCATAACCTTTCGTCTTCTCGGTTTCCCTAATCGTCCGCCTTCTAGTCCCCGCTCTTTGCCATCCAGACCGCCATCAACACCAACATCAACATAAGCATCATTCCATCATTACATCCTTATATCATCTCTTTCCCATGCCTGGGTTGTGGACGGTTTGCTTGATACATGTGGGGATGTCTTCGCGGTCTCTCGGGGCCTCTTGATGTCTGAGAGGCTTCTTGGGACCTTGGACCTCTTGGGGGCGCGTCGGAGGCTCGGGGGGCTCTTGGGCGGGGTGGAGGGCTGGAGCAGCCTCTTCGAGCAATCGTTTCCATTATTCATCCACGTGATCACCGCCATTAGCAGTAGCATCACCTCCACACCATCACGTTTCAATGCTCCTCCCTCGCCATCATCCCAGTGATCTCTTGCATTCCCCTTGCCTCCCGAGCGCTCGCGGTCTCTGCAGCTTCTCGGCCCTAAGCTTTCCCCGCTTATCCCCCACTCCCCCGCCGCGCGCGCGCGGCCGTGGCGCAAGGGGCCCGCGGCCGCCAAGGTCGCATCGTTGCCTGCGCGGTGCTGTGCTTCTTCGTGGGCCACGGGCTGCCCCCCGGGTCGCTGCCGCGGGCAGTTGTCCAACCGCTCTCTCCGCGCTCTGTTTGGCTCGGGGTCGCGCGGTACAGTCAAGACGCTGAAAGAAGGAACTCTTTGGGTTCGAAAGGGGCTCGATGTTCCCTGGGTTCCTCCATTGCTCTCCCTCTCGCCCTTCTCGGGCACGGAGGCGCTTTAGCGTTCCTTCTTTCAGCGGCCCGACTTTACCCCGTCAGCCCGAGCGCGAGTGGGGGTGGGCCGGCTGCCGCTTCCAGGCAGCCGGTGGCCCCCTCGTCCCTCGGGCGCCGCCGCCCCTTTGGCGGCGTGCGCCCGTGTTTTCTGGCACCGGTTGTCGCCAGTCCGTCCCAGCAGGGTTCAGGCCTGCTCGCGGGTTGTTCTTGCGCCCACCGCAGGCGGCAGCCTTCCAGCGGAGGCCTCTCGCCCTCTCGGGCGGCGCTGGCCCTTGGGCCCCGTCCTTCAGATTTGGCGGCCGTTGGCGCCTGCCTCGCTTTCGCCGCTGCAGAACACCCCTCCTGCCTCGGAAGGAACAGAGCGCAGCGGTGGGGAGGTAACAGTTTGGTGGGGCGCTCGATTGGCGGGGCCGGGCGGGGCGTCTAAGCAGACAGTGAATAAGCGTTGAGAACTATGCCTTCTCGTGGGAGCATTCTGAAGGCATGGTTCAGTTAGCTCCTGGCGCACCAGTTTGCTGGGCAGCTCACTGGTGCACTGGTTAGGTGGTCAGCTCACCTGTGCGTTCCTGCTTCGTTTGCTTCCAGCGTGTTGGGATGCATCGTGTAGCACAGGGGTGGACCTAAACGGTGTTTTGGCGATTTCGTGGGCCGTTTTTCGTTTCGATTCCGTTTTGCGTTAAAGGTGGCTTGAATAAAAAAACGAGGGAGAACGAAACCAACACGAAAACGAAAAACACCGTTTAGGTTCAGCCCTGGGTGTAGCATTTCATCTTTCGCTCCCGGTGCGTTGCGTTGCATGGCGTTGCCGCGGGAGGCCCAAAGGGGTCAGGTGACCGGAAAACGTTTCCCTCCATCTGGCTGGAGTTGTCGCCAGTGCTTAGGATAACGCTTCTGTAGCAATAATACAGGATGGGCCGGCGCGCCCGTTCGTTCACATCGAATGTCTGCCTCCCGCGCCATGCTCAGTCGGGCCATTGGGGCTGGATCTGCTCAGCTTTGCTGCTGCTGTTGCTACTGCTGAGCCCAGACTCGCCGGTCTCCTGCGCCATGGATCCTTCGGAGGACGAGTCCGCGTCGTTCGTGACCGTCGCTGACGCGGCTGCGTCGGCGCGCCCCTCCAACCTCGCCGCTGTCGAGGCGCGTCGCCCCTGGCTAGTTTTCTTGGTTGGGCGATTCGGCTTTTCGCCAGAGGCGCCCGTGCGCCAGATCGCCATGTGCACGGAGGCGGACTGGCTCCAGTCTGTGTCCGAGTGCGGCCTCCTATGACATGTCCCGCCACTCGCGGCGCAGATCGTGCAGGCAGGGCTGCATGCGGGCGAGTGTGCCGGGGTCGCATGCGGGGCCCAGCTGCGCGCGGCGCCGGCGATGCGCGTTCGCAGGATCAGCAGCTGCGGGCAGCTGCGGGCAGCAGGCACGGCAGCTCCCCCGGACGGCCGCCCCTCCGGCAGTTCGCTTCCGGCTCGCGGCCGTCCCTCGCTCAGGCCGCCGACGGCGGGGCCGAGGAGGTGGGCGACGAGAGGGCGCAGACCGGCCACGGGCGCTGCGCTCGGAGTCTCGGCGGCATCCCGCCGCCTGACCACGGGCCGACGCCGGGGCAGCTGGCGGTGTTCAGACACGTGGTCGTGGTTGACAGGGGACCGCCGTGCGTCGACAGGACCATCTTCGGGCCGCGCGCGATTTGCACGGTCCGGAAGAGCATGCAGCAGCTCCGCGAGCTCGTGGAGCACTTCGGCATCTTCGGCGGCTCCCAGGAGGCGCGGGCGCGCTACCTCTTCCGCTCCGACCCCCCCCGCGGCTGTGGACCTTCATGCGCCAGGGTGACATCGAGGATCGAGGCTATCAGCGGCGTGAGTGCGGTTCACAAGAAGAACTCCGAGAAGCCAGGAAGCTGGTCATGGCCGTCCCCGCCAACTTTGCGTGGCGTGATTTGAA